TTACAAAACCCAGAAGCTGAAAGTGGCTGTTTCTACCCAAGGTGGAGGGGCTTCTTCAAACCAGCACACAAACTGTTGCAAGAACAGCACAACTGTACAGCTAATCGAAGCAGCAGAGCAGGTAGGTAAGGGCAAGCCAGCCTTGTCACAACCCCTCCTTCTGCTCCTTTTCCCTGCTGTTTGCCTCCCTCCGCAACTCCTCCGTATCCCTCATCCTGCACTGGTGGCTTCCGGGGGCGATGAGGCTACAAGACCCAGTTGCCCCCTTCCTCGCAAGCCTGAGGGAGCTGGAGCACACTGAGCCCTTGCTCATGGTTATGCACGTGCGGCTCCGTAAAACAACGAGCAAACCCGGCAGAAACTGAAGCCTACTTGGGACATCAGCAACCGTTGTCCCCTGGGAGCGTGGGGTGGACGAACAGCTGCAGAGCTGGACACCGCTGAAGCTGACCTTCTACTCCCCGGTTAATGAGAAACTCCCACGGTACAACGACATACACAAATTTTATCCTGAACGTCAGGGGATACTGTCATCCCACTGCGCGGCTTTAACGCCCTGGCTGCTTGAGTGGGAGGGCTCCTCTTCAGAGAGAGCAAGTTGTCCCCTACCACCCCCTGTGAAAGATGTGGGCACCTCAAACAGCTCAGGAGCACGGTGCTCAGCTGCAAAATATTAATGAGGCTCCCGGAAAGCTGCTAAGTGCCTTGAAAGCTCCCCCAGCTAAAGCCAGGTTCGCTTAGGGTGGCAGCACCTGAGGGAGAAAGAAGAAAGGGAATGAAGCAGTATAAATTATTCCAGCTCGGCTTTAGCTCCGCAGGTAGCTTCCTGGTGCTCTTTGCAAAGCGGAGCCCATCCTGCGATTGCAGCTCCGATTCTTCCACCGTCGCCCAGTTTTGCTCACCAAGCAGAACTGCAGAGCAAGCAAACAGCACGTTGCAGAGGGTTTGTGGACGAAGGAGAACATTTTCCATGCTCTTTTCGCAGTCCGCAGCGGATGGCGCCCAGGATATATGTCCTCCAGATGTATCCCCAGAAAATGCCATCAGGGAACACGCTGAGATTTTTAGCTTATTCTGTCCTTCCTTTTCCCAAGCACCAATGACACTCCCGGTTTCTGCCCATAGCAGGCTTTCTCATTTGATGTACCGAGGGGGCTAGGTTTCTTGTTTTAAGTGCCCAGGAAGACAGACATTTCCCCATGTTGAAGGGGGACCCCACAGCTGGGCCCAGCTGCGCCCAGCACTCCTCAGCAGCCAGGCACAGGGATGGCTTTCCATAATACCTTTTCCAGCTGAGAACATGGCCTACTATTCCTCAACGTGTGGCAAAAAATCAGGTTTAACTTTAGGGCCATGGAGGCCTCTTCTGGCTTGGCATCCCATCACACCAGGCGCTCTACAGCCACCTTCTGAGCCTCCTGGGTGACTGAGCACTGGAAGTGGTTGCCCAGAGAGGTTGTGGAGTCTAATTCCCTGGAGATATTCAAAACCCACCTGGACGTGATCCTGGGCAACGTGCTCCCTGCTGATGACCCTGCTTGAGCAGGGGGGTTAGACTGGATGACGTCCAGAGGTCCCTTCCAACCCTGGTCATTCTGTGATTCTCCCACAGCGCTGGCTGCTCCCGGCCGACTGCGGTGGTGGAGAGGGGACAACAGCGCTCAACCCAGGGGTGCCAGATGTGGGGACAAAACCAGCATCTGTCACCAGAATTGCCCCTGCAGCCAGGACCAGCGCATCTCAGTGGCAACGTGATCTCACGGGAACATACGGGAACATCTGTGCCCGTCTAGCGTTACGGAAATGACAGTATTGGCCAAGCAATGTCTCCACAACAGTGTTTTGTAGTTAAATATATGTAAAGAGAGTGCACATATTTGTGTAACTAACTATTTCTTGGGCTGCATGTGTTAAATTACATCATTAACTCCACTCGCACGACATCAACCACTGACGAGCAGATACACTGACATGCAGAGCAATGCATTAATCGGGGCATGCTAGAAACCATACATACTGGATAAACAGTATCTGTGATGTAAAATTTGCTGACGTTTTTGCAGTCAGCTAATACATTTACACAGAATTTGCTGGCTTGAATTCCAACTAAACAAAGCCATGCTCCTCAAACAACTTCAATTCCTCCAAAGTAATGAGTCCTACCCGTCTTTTGTCACAAATAGAGGAGTTTTGCCCCTAAAAGAACTGGCTTCCTAAGTAGCACTTACATTCCTGAAAATAACTCATATATGGCCGTTAAATTGAATGCATAAATACGATAAAAATGACTGATGGCCTTTTGGTGATTTCTGATCACAAAATCAGATTTCAGTATTTCGGCACGGATTTTAAAACCCACTATATTCACACTGACAGCAGCAACTGCACATACATTTTTGCACTCGAAACTAGGTTCCCCTTGGTTTGCAAGTGAGGTTTTAAGCATAATTTTATGACACTGACTGGCCATCATAGCTACAGCAGAGGAGCTACCTGAAAATACAAAGCTGAGGTTTGTTTTTTAGTTATTCAAAGAAAACTTAGTTCTTTTTAAGAAGGAAAGTTCCAGGCTCAGGTTAAAAGTTTAAGAAAGGACTCTAGGTTTATGCATTACTTTCCTGCAATATTGACTGACCAGCTGGAAAAACGAGCCTGAACAGGACGTGCTTAATCCAAACAGCAAACAGGGTGGAAACCTCGGGAGCCGGCAGCCACCCAGCCCCTGCCTCCCAGCCCCGGGCTCAACTCTCTCCCTTTGGCGAGACAAAATTCAACATTTTCACGCTGTAGCAATCCATTGCCTTTATATTTCGAAGTATCAGTGTTAAACGTCCGACATCCTCGAGCATATCCCCTGGAAATAGCAATCGTGGCCCTATTGGTATGTTTTTGTTTTAGGAGCAGATGAAAAAAATGACCCTGGTTCCCCAATTCCCTTCCAGTTTCAATCAAATCTGGCAGAAAATGACAGGTTTGTAAATAATTTGCACTCCTATTGGTTTAATAAGAGTCTTCCCAGTTACACCAGTGAGTTGAAGCTCTGAGGGAGCCCGGGGATGGAGACCTGTGAAAAGGCACTGATGTCCGCGTCAGGTCTGGTGCTGCGTCGGGCTCCCAGGGGCACATGGTACTGTTACCCCAGGGCCATCTCGCAAAAACCATGGTCCAGACGCCGTCCCAACCCCATCACGCTGGCTGAAATGCCACGACAACCCCAATCTGTGCTGAAATACGGACCTCCTCGCAAGCCTCACATCCGGAAACGCCACCACGTGTCCCGATAGCTCGTGCTGCTTCCTGCCTCCTGCCCGAGCATCGCGGCCGACGCGCGTGTGCAGGGGCGGAAAAGCGCGACGGCGAGGGAGACCCCGAGGAACCCCTCCGCAGATACTGCAAGACTGCTAAAGCGATGGCAACGGCCCATCCTGACACTAGGGAAGACGCCTCCTAAAAAAATGTTGCGCCTTGGTGGAGCGACGCTTCTTGGGAGACGGGACCTCCGGGCTGCAAATCACGAGTTGCAAGAGCCGTTCGGCATCAAGAGCTCCAGCCTGGCTAGTGCTGGTTGCCAGCAAACACGCACAAAACGCCCAGCTGCAGGCAGCAGACACAGACCCCAGCGGGCCAACGGCGCGTGCACCCACGGCGAGGGCAGGCAGAGCCCGGCACGGGCCCCCTACCGCTCCTCCTTCGTGTTTCGGCACCTATTTCCCTATCAAACCTCCCGAGCGCTGGCTGTCGCATGCGGCGGCAGCCCCTGCTCAAAGACCTGAAATTAAAAGAAAAGGTTAATGCAGTTACTCAGCAATCCTGCGGGTTTGTCCTATTTGCTTGTCAGCACCAACTCTGCCGGCTTTAACCTGAAAAACTAGTTCTGCTGGGTGGAGAGGCAGCGGGAGGAAAGGAAAGAGGAGGAGGAAAGCGGGGACGGGGAGGAAAGCCTCCCTCGGGCACACCAGCCCAAGGAAGGAGCCTGGACCTTTTCGGCTATGCTATTTCCCCCCGGGCTGGCTGGTGGCAACAGCTGCAGCAGCAGGTGCCCCTCATCGGAGCATCAAGCCTGCTTCGCAGGGCAGTGACGGCCGTTGGGTGCAGCCTAGCCCATCTCGGTGCCTCCTGCACCTCTGCCCATCTAAACGCCCGGTCTCAGCCCAATACTGACCGCTGCTCCCGGCGGGCACCTGCCGCACGGGCTGCCGCTGCGCTTATTCGCCTGCTCCCTTCACTGACTGTTTCAGTACTAATCCAGGACAAATTTTGCTTTGAGATAAGCAATTAAAATGCCTGCACATAAACCATCACACGGCGTTGCAAGGAGAGCCCCCCATCCCGTCCCGTCCCATCCCGTCCTTGCGCTGCTGGACCACGAAGAAACGGGCTAGTTTTGCACGTTTAGGACGCCTGGATGAACGCTGAGGATGAGCAGGAGCAGCACGAGGGTTTTCTTCGTGCTTAGACACGCAGATTTCAGGCAAGTCACGCTTTAGTCAATGAAGTGGCGTTTCTGCGCCTCCCCCCGAAAGGCTTCCCACTGCCTCCGCGGGCTCGAACGGGAAACGCGTCTGCATATAAAGCAGTTCGCGTCTCTTAACACAGACTTTTCGGAAACAGCTGTGGGATTGTAGCTGGGTGCTGGGATATGTCACCCTGGGAGACGCACAAAATCAGCACAGAGACACCATAGCTCCTGAAGGCCAATAAACGTTCTCACTCACAGCCTACCTGTGATATCTATAACCCCTCCGCATCTTGTTTAAGTAAACACTCACTCCGCCGTATTTCATGAAAACAGAACATTTTTAACAGGAGAGAGATGCATTTAAAGCCACTTCCTATACGGCACAACGGAAGCAAAGGTTGAACATCATAAATCACTGAATCAATTTTAATATAACGTTTCCCTGCTTATCTTTCTCAGATAAGACACTTCATATGAATCCAAATTAATAAACCAAATAACATCCAAACATAATGCTATGAAGCAAAATAAATCCACTTACCAGAGATGTAACTCAAGTTTAATTCTCCTTCAGCCTTGTGCCGTTTTCCAACTTCTAAGCAATAATTTATTCTTACTGTATAAAATATTAAAGCCAGTGCATGCAGCATTGCCCTGTTTTCTAAGGTCTTGAGTCTACCATTTCCTAATTCCTGCACGGTTACTGACGTCTCCAGACGGTCGTTCCCGGCGTCCTGCTCGCCCTCGGCACGCTGAAGGGCAGAAGCGCACAGCTGATGGTGGCCGGGCTTATAAAACGGAGCCGGGAGGAGCAGGACGTGCCTCCCGCCAGCCTTAGGTATGCTTTAGCTTTTGGCAGCGCGTTCGCGCGCCGGGCCCGGCGGCTGCCAGGGGATTTCTGCACCCGCTCGCTTCTCGCTCTGCGACTTCTGCTCCGTCTCTGCCGGCTTTTATGTGCCGTCGTCTACCACCACGGCACGACGGATCCGATTTCGGCAGCGGGGAGGCTTTGAGTCGGGATCGCTCCGGGTCGAGATGGCTCCAGGTGGGGATCGCTCTGGATCAGGACCACTCCGGTTTGGGATCACTCTGGATCGGGATCGCTCCAGGTGGGGACCACTCTGGATCGGGATTGCTCCTGGTTTGGACCACTCTGGTTTGGGATCATTCTGGGTTGGGATCGCTCTGGGTCAGTATTGCTCCAGGCTGGGATCACTCCCGGTCAGGATTGCCCCAGGTTGGGACCACTCTGGTTTGGGATCACTCCCGGTCAGGATTGCCCCAGGTTGGGACCACTCCGGTTTGGGACCACTCCGGTTTGGGATCGCTCCAGGTCAGCCTGCCAACAGCCAGGTACCAGCAGCTCAGCAGCTCCTGCCTCCTATTCCCCTCACTCCCAAAGAAATACGGTTTTCGGAGGTGTCTCAAGGGACCCGTTTCACTACCGCGTCGGTACAGCAAGCGTCTCTGCTGATTTCTTGTTCCCCGCGGCTCAGTGATACGTGTTTTGCAGAGGCGAGAGAGGAGTGAAGCACCCTCCTCTCTAGCCCCGTGTACTTCCTTCCATTGTGAAGACGTGCCGGACGCCGCTGCGCATGGCTGCTGGAAGGATTTTAAACACTGCATGAGAGAAGCAGGAGGGGAAAAAAAAAAAAATCTCGCTTCTGCTCCAGGTTCACGCATTTGCTGCTTTGCACATCTGCTCCAGGATGCATCGGGCAGCAGGAGGGACCCACTGCAGCCGTTCCCAGGGCTGGGCACCAGCCTTCCCCCGAGCCTGTTCCTGTGTCTTGCGTTGAACACTGCTGAATAAATGCAATAAATCAGACTTTGGCTCAGAGGCTGAGCAAAGTTTCCTTCCCACCGGGACCAGGAACTGCGCTTGCTCTTGCTCCCTGTCTATGGCCAAGGAACTGGCCTGCTTGGCTCTCGCTTTCCGGATGAATTGCCCCCAGGATCCGCTAGACCGGGCCCACCCTCCTGCACTGTATATTTCTTCCCCTAAAAGCACACGCGTGCGGGGTGAGGGGAAGACTTCAAAGATAATTTTAAGCGCAAGCAAAACGTCAAGGGATGGAGCAGCTGGATTCCGGTTACGATGCCGCCACTTGCGCTTAGACAGCGGGAACTGACACAAAAACAGCATTTGCACTCTTTTCTTTATAGAAAAGGGACGTCGCTGACGTAAGCGCACCCTAAAATAACCATGTGCTTGTCAGATGAAAGCATTCAAAAATATCCCCGGGAACGGTTTCGTGAGGGAGCTGAACGGATGGAGCCGGAGAGCAGCTTCCTCGTCCGCGGCCCCGGGCGCGAGGCTCGGCCTCGGAAAACACCTTCCCATTTCTCTTCTGATTTTGCCTAGTTTTCACCGGCTCCCTGTGCCCTCCATAGGGTTGTAGGGCCCTTTGGGTGTTTTTCACCGGCTGGGTGGATTCACCGCAATCAAGTGCCGCTTTCGCTGGCTTTGGGCCACTTTTGGCTCTCTTTGCCCTCGGCATCGCTCTCAGCGCTCTCCCCGTACCCAGCTTTGCCAGCCTTTCGCCTTGGGATGTCTCTGCTGCTGTGTTTTCTTCCAGTGCTTTCCACTTTGCTGTAGTGCAGCTTCCAGGCAAGCACGATTTGGGGGATTTTCCTCAGCAAAAGGCTTAGGTGGAAGAGTTTGGCTTTCGTTCAGCCCTGCTTCTGGAGATGCCGCTTCCCGCCGCAGGAGTATCGGCAGGGGATCGGTCCCC